AGCCGCCGCCCCTCCTGCCGCCGTGGCCATTGTCTGCGGCCCGGCTCTTCCCGTAGTCGCCTCTCCCCACCCCTTCGCCTCCCGATGCCGCGGCCCTCCCAGAGCCTGGGACGCCACGGGGGGGCTGCGACCCCCGCCGCGGACGGTGGGCAGGGGGAGCCCTCGATCCGTCGCCCTGGTCCAGCCCGCAGCCCCTCGTGGAGCTGTCTTCCGTGATCCTCCTACCGGAGGAGGAGCCCCCAGACCCCCAGGGCTGGCCGCATTCTCTGCTTCAGGGCCACAGACCCGGCTACGCAAAACCCAGTGGAATCTGGGACGTGGGAAGATTGGTTTTTCCCCCCTAGGGCTGCGAGAGGGAGGGTCGTTCCCGATTTTAATTAGTGGCGAGAGACGCTCCGCTCTTCCCATGCATACGGGGATTTCCCTGACACCATCGCCACCATATCCCCTCCTTCCAAAAATAATTTAATTACTCCGTGTTCTAGCTGCGAGCAGCGACCGCCCCAGTCAGTCTGGGACGCTCGCTCATTAGCACGTTTTTCCTCCCCTCTGGTTTGAGGGTTGGGATTAATTACAAAGGGAACCATGCCCTGGGGGAGCGGGGGAGGAGAGACGACGAGGGTCCAGGGAGTTCGGATAGTGGAGGAGAGGGCGCCTTCTCCCAGGAAACTTCTAAGAGTTAAAATGCCTTGGCCAGACGGGTCCCTAACCCCAGCGGGCTGGGCTCTCCTCCCCTGGAGTTTCAGATACTTTAGAGTGAGGTAACTACACAGGGATTGTAGGGTCTCACAAAATATCCCACACAATTGGGGCATTTCCGCCTTCAAGCTCGCCAAGAAACCAATTAGGGATCTTAAAGAGGGGCAATATATCGGATTCCACCAAGAGTGACCCCCGCCATAAAAGCCTGGGTTGTGGGAGGTCCGTGTTCCCCTTGGAGTGAGCCAGCGAAAGCAGAAGTTTGATTATATTATGAGTGTTATTGCTGTGCAGCCTACCTCTCAGAATAGTATCACTTCTAAAGCATCTTCACAGGCTTCTCCCCAAGCATCTCTGCTTTCTCCAGCTTTTCGTCCTGGTACCTGTCCTCCCAACTCCTTGATTAAGAATTTCCAGGTGTGGTGGCTCACATTTGTAATCCCAGCACTTTGGGTGGCCAAGGTTGAAGATCCCTTGATCCCAGGAGCTGGCTCCACTATGTGCATAGGCAACATAATGAGACCTCATCTCTACAAAAAAAAAAAAGTCAAAATATTAGCTGGGCATGGTGGCACATGTTACTCAGGAGACTGAGGTGGGAGGATCACTTGACCCCAGGAATTTGAGTATGCAGTGAGCTATGATTGTGCCACTGCACTCCAGCCTGGGTGACAGAGCAAAACTTTGTCTCTCAAAAAAAAAAAAAACCCAGGGAAGGAGACCCCCAGCTTAGGGATTGCTGCTGCTCCTTGATAAAAATGTTTTCCTGAGACCTAAATTTGTCCCTTTTGGTGGTCCTTTCTAACCTGTCTGAAATGAGGACAGAGCCACCTTTGACTGCACTTTTCGATGATAGTGAATGGTAAAAAATACTTTTTTTCTCTTTTGCCCAAAACCTGCCTCTCCTCCCATCTTCCTGTAGTGTGGGTCAGCAAGTGATTCAGCACCAAGACTGCATGAAATATGCAGAGTCATCATTTCAGGTACCCAAGTTCATGTATGCATCCAGGTACTCATTCACCTTGTGCCTAGCATGTGCAGGGCTGCCCTGGGAGGGTCCGGCAGTGACTACAACCAGGTGTGTGAGGGACAGAGCTGAGAAAAGATTAAGGGCGGCAGGGAGGATATGGGATGTCCCCAGCCCCGCCCAGAGCACATCCCCCATTGCTGGGCAGCAGATATGCAATTTGACACAGTGTCAGCAGTACCATGGAGCCGTCTCTCTCAGGCAAGTTTAGTGGGAGTTATGTTCACATGCTGCTAGCCTGTTTCACAATCCTCAAAGGGGTCTAAAGAATTGGAAAAGGGCTTCTGATGTCAGAATTACAGATAATACTGTAGACTGGCCCCATCAAAAGCGTGAAACCTGAGTCAGGATGTCAACAGATGAGGCTTCAGGAGTAACAGGTATCAGGCATCAGGCTGGAATAAACTTGGTCCCCCCTTTCTCTCCTCTGAGAGTGAGTCTGGGGACTTTCAGTTACATCTCTGCAATGAAGACACTGAGTTATAGAGACGAGGCCCACCACTACATTCAATTTGCATGGTATGTCCCATAGAGCAATTCTCTGGACTGCCCTCCACCTGCACCCCTGGGATACAAACCCATCTGGATTTCACACATCCTCAATTCAGAGTGAGGTGACAGAGACCCAGATAGAAGGGCCATGAGTCCCATGGTCCAAGGGACCTACCCTAATTCTTTAGAAGGAAGAAGAGCACTGAAGTGACGTTCAAGCTGAGATTTTCCCAAGGAGGCCAGCCTATAGCAACAGAGGGAGACCAGGAGCCTGGGGGACAACAGATTGGATTTTGCACATCTCCTCTCCTTGAGGACAGGGGCAAGTTTCTTAATTTCTTCAGACTTCAAGTCTTGGTTATATAAAAGGGACAAATGAGGAGACAGAAGCAACCCCTCCATGTACCCATAGAGCCACAGCCCGTTGCCAATCAAGCTTCCCCTCTCTGTTTCGTGCCTAGGGGACTCCGGGTTCTCTCAAGAGTCTTGCTAAGGGGAAGGAGGCCAGGGCCTAGTCTAAAGCCAGGGCCCTCATTTAAAGCCCTTGCAACACCTCACCAGCTTACGGGCCTAGGCAGCTGGGCAAGGCGGGGAGGCACGTTGAAGGCCCCTCAGAAGGTTGAGTCTTCTGGGAAGATGCAAGGAGCCCGAGGGGTGACAGCAGACCTTTTCCAAGGAAAACCAGGCTTCAGAGAAGGGCCTGCTTCCTGTGAGTGCAATGCTGTCCTTGGAAACCAGGCCCAGAGCACAGTAGCAAAGGTTAGGTTCACGGCTTTCTGCTCTGATGAAATATAGGGTCTTTTCGCAGCACAGCTCAGAGAAAAGGAAATCCTTAGTACCTCTCTCATAGAAGCGTCACACAATACCAGAATGACGACCAGAGTGGTTTCATTGTGAGCAGTTAGTAACTTCTGCTGCCTCCCAGGTACAGGTAACCACTGTGATATACCCACATGCCAGGTCATAGTCACCATCATCTCACAGTCCTGCTGGTAGACCTGGGGACAGTTCAGATACTCCCAAGATACTTCAAGCTTTCCCAGCACCCACCTTCCTAGGAGAGCTACTCTCAGTGTTTATACAAGTATTTCCAAATTCCGCCTATACTAGGTAATAGCTGGGTTTTGGGGTAGGGGGTTCTCACTTTTAGTGGAAAAACAAAAACTTGACTGGGCAATAACTGCTATGTCCTAGGGCTGTTGTGAAGTGTCTCCCACATAAAAGCCTGATCTTTGAGAACATGGCCCAGCCCTCATTCATTTATATATCTCTGTCACATAAAAGTCACTAAGTTAGCATTAGTTCCCTTCTAATCCTCCGTTTCCCTGTTCCTCTTCTGTCCCACACCTTGACCACTCCCTATTTATCCAACCTTTATCAAGTGTGAGTTTCCTCAAGTCCAATTCCATTATCACCAATCTAAAATGTTACCTACAATTATACCAGTGGTTCTTAACCTTGACTGCAGATTTTAATCACATGGGAAGCTTTGAAAACATACCAGTGCCCAGAACCCAGTCCGGACTAATTAAACCAGAAACGTTCAAGGTGCAGCCCAGCTGTTGGCATTTTTTTTTTTTTTTGAGTTGGATTCTCACACTCTGTCGTCCAAACTGGAGTGCAGTGTCACACTCACAGCTACTGCAGTCTCAACCTGCTGGGTTTAGGCGATCCTTCTGTCTCAGCCTTCCAAGTAGCTGGAATTACAGACACGCGCCACCACGCCCAGCTAGTTTTTGTGATTTATTGTAGAAATGAGGTCTCACCAAGTTACCCAGGCTGGTCTTGAATCCCCAGGTTCAGGCAATCCTCTCGCCTCAGCCTCCCAAAGTGCTGGGATTACAAGCTGAGCCACCGCACCCAGTCTGTTGGCATTTTTTTTAAAGTTACCTCAGTGATTCTAACGTGAGAACCACTGAATTAAACTCTTTCTGATTCACTTTTCACTTCCTCCTTTCTTGGAAGAATAAATGCACCACCACCACTCCCGCCATTGGCTGGGTGGATGTGGCGGTTCATGCCTGCAATCCCAGCACTTTGGGAAGCCAAGGAGGGAGAATCATTTGAGCCCAGGAATTCAAGCCCAGGCTGGGCAACATAGCAAGACCCCATCTCTACAAAAAATAAAATAGAATAAAATTAGCTAGATGTGGTGGTGTGTACCTGTAGTCCCAGCTGCTGGGGAGGCTGAATCAGGAGAACATTTGAGCCCAGGAGTTCCAGGCTGCAGTGAGCTATGGTTGTACCAGTACACAACTGGGTGACAGAGCAAGAACCTGTCTCAAAAACAAAAAAGAATAAACACCTCCTACATCCTTTGCTCAGGACTACTTCTTCCAGGAGCGCATTCTATCCTTCCTTTCCCACCTCCATCCATTATCCCATCTCTCCTGTAACTAACCGACCTCCTCACTAACCTTCATCCAGCAGATGGACGAGAGTATAACACCTCCTTTCACTCTGCAGCCTTCTTTTGCCAGAGCCCTCTCCTTTTCCTTCCCATCCAACCTTCTTTAAAGAGTAGAATCTGCTGGCCATGATGGCTCACACCTGTAATCCCAGCACTTTGGGAGGCCGAGACAGGAGGATCGCTTGAGCCCAAGAGTTTGAGGCCAGGCTGGGTAAGATGGCAAGATCTTGTCTCTGCAAAAAAAAAAAATA